CTCAGTGGTTAGCACTGCTGCCTCACAGCGCTAGGGACCCAGGTTCGATTCCAACCTCGGGCGACTGTCTGTGTGGAGTTTGCATGTTCTCCCTGTGTCTGCGTGGGTTTCCTCTGGGTGCTCCAGTTTCCTCCCACAGTCCAAAGATGTGCAGGCAAGTTGGATTGGCCATGCTAAATTGCCCATAGTGTTCAGGGATGTGTAGATTAGATGGGTTATAGGGGGATTGATCTGGGTAGGATGCTCTGAGGGTCGTTGTGGACTTGTTGGACCACAGGGTCTGTTTCCTCATCCTGTGATCTATGATCTAAGATCCGCTATAAACCCACCGACTCCCACAGCTACCTGGACTACACATCCTTGCACCTGCTTCTTGGAAAGACTCCATCTCATTCTCTTAGTTCCGTCGTGTATGTTCAGCTGAGGCCAACTTTGACAAGGGAGCCTCTGAAATGCCCACCTTCTTCTTCAACTGAGAATCCCCCAGACCGTTGTCGACAGTGCCTTCAACCGGGTCCGACCCAGCTCCCGCACTTCTGCCCTCACTCCTTCTCTTCCCTCCCGCAACAGCAATAGGGCTCCCCTTGTCCTTACCTACCATCCCACCAGCATCCACATCCAGAAGATCATTAGCCGCCATTTCTGCCACCTCCAGCCAAACACTGCATATATTGCTGTCCCCTCCCTTGTCCACCTACCACAGGGACCGTTCCCTCTGGGACACCCTGATTCACTCTTCCTTCACTCCCCGATAGCCCCACGGCATGTTCCCCTGCAACTGCCGTAGGTGTAACCTGTTTATCTCCTCCCTCCTCAGTATCCAAGGGCCCAAACATACCTTCCAGGCGAAGCAGCATTTCACCTGCACTTCCCCAGAATCTAGTCTACTGCATTCTCTGCTCACAATGTGATCTCCTCCACATTGGAGAAATGAAGTGTAGACTGGGTGACCGCTTCACAGAACATCTACGTTCTGCCTGCAGAAAAGACCCTGAGCTTCCACTTTAACACACTGCCCTGTTCCCTGGCTAACATCTCTGTCTCATGTTGCAGTATTCCAGCAAAGTTCAGTGCAAGTACATTTTCCGCTTGGAGATCCTGCAGATCTCCAGACTAAATATCAAGTTCAATAATTTTACTGGGATAAATTCACATATCCTAGCCCCCTATCCCATACACCAGGCTTTGTTAATATATTGTCAGCCATTACACACTATCTATTGTTAGCCATTAATAGTCTCCATAAACAGCTATTCACTCTCCGAGCCAGATCAGTGATTTCTCTTCATAGATACTGCCAGACCTGCTGAACTTTTCCAGCAACTTCTGTTTTTGTTTCTGATTTATAGCATCCGCAGTTCTTCTGGTTTTTAAGTAGAAGAAACATATTTGGATTCTTAAGGTATAAAAGGACATGACCTTGCTGCCACCATTACCGTATAATTTATCTCTGCCATCTTTCCCTTGGAGCTTTGGGTGCAAGGATCTGCACTTAAGCTGCAATTGTTTATTTCTTAGAATCATATTATCATAGAATCCCTACAGTGTGGAAACAGGCCATTCAGCCCAACAAGTCCACACCAATTCTCTGAAGAGCACGTAAGGTATATTTCCTTCCCCACCCTTATCTGCCTTCTGGAGGGACTGCTCTCTACGTGACTCTCTCGTCCGCTCCACGTTCCCCACTAGCCCCACCACCCTGGCACTTTTCCCTGCAACTGCAGGAAGTGCTACACCTGCCCCTACACCTTCCCCCTCACCTCCATCCGAAGCCCCAGGAAAACCTTCCACATTAAACAGATGTTTACCTGCACATCTGCTAATGTGGTATATTGTATCTGCTATTCCTGATGTGGCCTCCTCTACATCGGGGAAACGAAGCGGAGGCTTGGAGAACGCTTTGTGGAGCACCTACACTAGGTTTGTGACAAACGACAACATGTCCCAGTCGCGAACCACTTCACTTCCCCCTCCCACTGTTTGCACGACATGTCCATCCTGGGCCTCTTCCAGCGCCACAACAATGCCACCCGAAGGCTGGAGGAACAGCACCTCATATTCTGCTTGGGAACCCTGCAGCCCAATGGTCTCAATGTGGACTTCACTCCCTTCAAAATCTCCCCACCCCTGACCTCATCCCAAGACCAGCCCATCTCGTCCCCACCTCCTTGACCTGTCCGTCTTTTCTCCCACCTATCCACTCCTCCCACCTCACTGACCAACCGACATCCCTACTTCCTACCCACTAGCCTCATCCCCGCCTCCTTGAACTGTCCGTCTTTCCTCCCACCTGCCCGCCCCTCCCTCCTCACTGACCAACCTCCATCCCAACTCCCTATTTACACTCACCTTTACTGGCATTCATCCCCGCCTCCTTGACCTGTCCGTCTTCTCTTCACCTATCTGCTCTTCTATCCACCTT